CCCCAAAACCCCAAAACCCCAAAACCCCAAAACCCCTCCATTTTATAAAAGACTGAAATTAATGAGTTTAATATTAATGGAATCTTTACGTGAAATCGAGCTTGAAGTCCACAAGCAAGAAAAATTATTTTACACTAGCTACAAAGGAGTTCTGAGCAGACCTCTGGGCTACTCCATGAAGAAGCTCTACGAAGGCCAATGTGGTAAGGTAAAGAGTGACTTTAGGCATGAGGAGTAAGAAGGAAATCCGCAACCTTGGATGTGACAAGTTACACGTTAGATTCAAGTAGGCATCGTACCTGAAGATATAGCATGATTGGGTTTGCAAGAGATAGAAATTTCTACCCAAAAACTCATTTGGACTACATGCAGAAGAAGTGTTTCCATGAGTTAGAGATCCGCCACTCAGAAAGATACAAATTCAGAGATTCGCCAGAATTGTACACGTAAGAAAAACATTTAGCTACTAATCTTCTTGTTGAGCTCTTACATTTCTTATAGGAAGAACTGCATTCCCAGGAGAGGCATTATCAACATCTGCAGAGTGGCAAGGTTTATCACAACCGTTTTCAACATTGATAGTATGACTGCAATCCTCCTTGAACTTTGGTCAATAAGTGTTTTAATCATTCGTGATACAAAAGTTCAATCAGATTTATATATGCTCCTGGAGTCCTCATTACAATGCATAGTTCTTCCTCAAATCCTTCTATGCTCTCTAAATCTGATTAACTTTAGATCCTTCTCTGTTACGATGATATATTTTCACTTAATTAGATATTATTGATGTGTTTATGATTGTCATTTCTTGTTGAAGTCCCTTAACTGATAAAGAGGAGATAGCTTAATCCATTGATAGAGTACATCTCTCATGCTAATGGTTTCTTCATATCAAGTCCAAAATACATAAGTATTTGAGGACTAAAGGCTAGTTATTAACTTACCTGAAGCTTAGCTAAGCAACTTTTCAATTGATATTTATGTTATCATGAGGGTATTCCAGTGCCTGATGTGCATTACGCAATGAATATTCCTTTTGCTTCTCCTCACATTATATGTATAGTTCCTAGCCTACAAGCCAAAGATCTTAACGTAAGTAGTCAATAGGATAACTGGGCATGCTCAAGCTAACTTTGGTGGATATAGAAGATCTTCCATGCATTCCATCACGTCAATGAATTCTGGATGTTTGGAGGCAACGTGGTTGGAAGTCCCTCTGATTTTAGAATCGACCCTTCTGTTGAGTTCAAGATCACTGTGATCCTGCCAGGCAGGATGAAAGACAACCACCACTGGTTGGCCGCCCTCGTTGAGTCTCCTTCAATCAGGAAGAACCTAAGAAGCTTCAGAGACTACCATTCAAAGAACAAGAAATTAGAGGAGGTTCTGGCGAAATGGAAAACTCACATTTATATTGAAAGAAGGTAATTCAACCTGAGTCTGATCCTTCGGGGTTTTGGGGTTTTGGGGTTTTGGGGGTTTGGGGTTTTGGGGTTTTGGGG